CATTTAAACAAACATGAATGTAAATACAAATGCCTAGGAGATATCCCAGTAGGTGTACTATATTCATTAAATAGTATACTTGTGATGGCTTTCGCCACTAGGGCCTGTAGCCTTTCTTGACACAAGGTATTGGCCTGGTCTAGGAGTGGGCCTTATCCAGTTAGAAATTTGTCAGTTGTACATATGTTGGTTATGCCATTATTGGACTTGCAGGTATTGCTTGGCATGTCCATAGTGTGCAGCACGCAGGGTCCATTGTTGAATAGAATAGTAGGGGATCCTTTCTTCCCGAACCATCTGCATAGTGCCTTCTGGTAATATGAATGTCATCCATCCAGTGGCATGGAGTTTTTTGGCTTAGTCTCACTTCCATCTCTTCTTCTCCCACACTCACAACATGCAGTGTGTTCAGCAACATGGCCTCACCGACCTTTCTAGTGTAAAACTGACATTAATAGCAATAGCCTTGGTGAATTGGAGAACCTCTAGGATCTCTCTCTGACCAACAGCTCATAGGGGGGCAACCCACCCCTGGTACTGTAGCTTTTCTTAACAGTTGTATACTTTGGGAGTCTCTGTCCTCATCTTACCCAACCTACATAAAACTCTCAACATACAGCTATAGCCGGCCTTTGCTTCTGCAGGCATCTTTCAAACGGGTTTCACATCTGTAAAACACTCAAAAGAATATCAACATTATATATTAAATCAATCATAGACAAGGTATCACACAGCATGGAAAGGTTTTGTCCATTCGTATTAACTTTTCTCCATAGATCCTTGTTAGGTACCATAGCAGGGTACAAGGCATTAATTTGGTTAGCTCTTTACCACTTTTAGTTATCCCTTTGGATTCTTTAATTCTTGATACACTTATAGGTGTTGGCTCCTGTTGCCTGACCCTTCACTGGGCTAAGGAGGCAGGGAGCTTCTGTTCCCGCTGCACTTGTTGGTTCCCTGAGTCAGACAGGCTCTGGGTCTGCCTCCTGTCTGTAGCCACATCCGTCATCTTCCCATTGACCATACCAGGTTGCTGGGGGAGAAGTTGGTGGGAAAACCTGCTTCCACCCCTAGTATAGCCTTTATCAGAGGAGAAATGCATCTTATTTAACCATTGGGGATTCTTAACCACCCCTTGTACAGTTGTTATCCATTGAGTGTCCTTTGTAAACTGTTCTTCTGGTTTTAAAACCTTCCAGAAAGGCCTTAGTACTGAATTTGGTTTCCTATCAGTTTTTTTCTCTGGGATTTGGGCTTTTCATAAGTTTGCTACATTTGTCGTCGAGTAACCCAAGTGGACTATTTCTTCAGTCTGGTCTTTTTTATATCTCTTATAGGGTGTTCTGTTATTTTACAGACATGTTTTACATGCTGGTCAGAATCATTTAGATTTAGCAAAGCCTCTCTCACTCTAAAAAGATCCTGTCCCATCAAAGGGCTTAGAAAACCATTAAAGCCCCATACCATTCTCAAGGTCCCAGTTGAATTAAGCTTTCTTTCATATCTCTGGCAAACACACTCTTATCTAGCCCAGTGAACTGGACATCATATATTGCTTTTCTCATACCTAGTTCTCTCAGTAATGCCTGCCCCTCCTTTATAGTCCTCCAGCCCCAGCCCAGAGCCCGCCATATCAGACTGCGCCATGCCTATAGTCACCACTTGCATTCACTCACGCCTCCAGGGCCAACAATCTCGCCTCAGGTCCATAAGAGTTAGTCCATTCTGTCCTTGAGCTGTTGTGCGTTCCCGGCGCCACGTGTGCTACCTGTGGCTTGTGGCTTCTGTCCCAAGATGGCTCCCAGCAGCCCCTCCATAGTCCATGCTCTGCATCAGGCCCCACCCATTGGAGGAACTAGCCAACTGGGAGACACAATCACAAAAAGCCATAATTCAACATCTCTCATAAACATCTTTTGAACATAAGTACAAGATGGTTTTCTTAATTCCAAGCATTAACTACAAACAACCTCAAGCCAAGAAGAAGCAATAGGAACATTGACCATGTTCTCCCCTAAATAAAAAAATAATCAATGGCACAGTAACCCATTGTAAATCCACATCAGTGCCACCATCAGTGCTCTTCTAAAACTCATTCTCAGTTTCATCATATCCTTCCAGGCTATGCCAATTTTGTCACCCGAATTGCCTCTGGGTGTCCTGGCTATCAAGCAAACTATATAACATATCTTTATGTGCATTTATTAACTTACAAAGGAATGAATACCCAGTGCCTAGCCCATGCTGCAGCTCAGAGCCCGCCATATCAGACTGCGCCATGCCTATAGTCACCACTTGCATTCACTCACGCCTCCAGGGCCAACAATCTTGCCTCAGGTCCATAAGAGTTAGTCCATTCTGTCCTTGAGCTGTTGTGCATTCCCCGCGCCACGTGTGCTACCCGTGGCTTGTGGCTTCTGTCCCAAGATGGCTCCCAGCAGCCCCTCCATAGTCCATGCTCCACAGCAGGCTGCGCCCCTTGGAGGAACTAGCCAATTGGGTAGTTTCTATATAAGGAACAGCTGATATCTGAACCCTCATGAAACTAGAAAGCTTTATCCCAGAAAAGACCACTATCCTTTTAGAATAGAGGCAGCCTAGGGAAAGGGAAACACTCTTCATCACATATCTTTCTGACTGAGGGTTAGTGTCTGGAATAAACAAAGAACTCAAAAAATCTTAAGAATAAGGACGAACCCAGTTAAAGAATGGGGCATTGGACTACAGGGAATTTTCAAAAGATGAAAGCAAATGTCTGTTCAATGACAAAAAGCTACAGGAAATCAGTGAATGCTAATGGCAGAAGAAATAGCTTTCTCCAGGGAATAGTTCTCTGTGACATGACTTAATTAGAAGTGGACTGTCCTAAGTACATATACAGATGAACACCACCAAATGGACTCAGTGCATTTTAAATGCACAGTAAAATAGTGCATGTACATCTCTGTGTGTGTATACATTTGTTTACATAAATGTATGCATATGTAGGTAAAATATTCGAAGAAGAGGCCAAGAATTTGAGAGGGAATGGTGGCTACATGGCAGGAGTTGGTGGACTGGAAAGGTTGGAAATAATGCAAAGGCAATACTCATGTATGAAGTTCTTAAAAATGTACAGAATCCTTCGCTATCAGGGAAACGCAAACTATATGTACTTTTAGATTTCATCGTAAGCAGTGAGAATGGTAAAGATAAAAAGTCTGCAAATGCTAGTATTGGACTCACAAAAGATACAAGAGTAAGTCATTGATTCTTCCACTGCAGTCAGAGATGCTGAAATATGGCAGCATGTAGCAGAAGAGGCCCGTGTAAAGAAGGTCTTGTCTGTCAGGACAAGACACCCTGAAAAGCTGTTGTGTGAAGCTGTGAAAGTTCTGTCTTGGGTGCAGGTGGAACCCCATGATTGTGGAGATGCTAGGGCCATGATGTATCACCAAGGAGTGCTGCAAAGAGGGAATGGAAACAGCCTCCCTTTGAAACCACAGTCCTAGACATCCAATATGAAGCTATAGTTTTTAGTGTGTGTATTTCCCCTACTGTTTTGGTCTTTCTTGGTTTCAATTTTTTCTCACTATGACCCCCATTCCTCCATTTTGAAATGGAAATGTATATTCAGGCCATTGTACATGGAAATATGTAATTTGTCTCTTTTTGTTTTATAGGGAATATCTTGATTTTACAGTAAAGATATTCCCTGAGTCTCATAGTAGACTTTGGAGTTTTGAACAGTGTTGAGATTTTTAAAGATTATAGAGTCTGTTTAAGTTGGACTAAATGCACTTAGCATTATGATATGGTCACAGTCCTGTGGATTCAAAGAAGGGAATGTGTTCATTTGAATGAGGAAGGTCCCCCAAAGGCTCTTGTATTTGAACACTCAGTGTCCATTTGATGGCACTGTTTGGAGAGGAGTAGGGGGTATAAAATTGTTATAAGTATGTCACTGAGGGACTGTTTGGAGAGTATATGCCCTTGTCCCCCATGTGGTTTTCTCTCTGCTTCCTGCATTTACTGATGATGTAGTCTTCCAGCTTTGGACTTTTGCCAACATCCCTGTCTTGCTGTCTTCCCACCTTGCCATTTTGAACCCGGTCTCTGGAACTGTAAGCCACAATAAATGTTCATCCTTAGATTGCTTCTGGTCATTGTAATTTTTCACAGTGAAAACAAAATAACTAAGACAGAATTGGAACCAGAGAGTGAGATGTTGCTGTGATGATCTGGACCATGTTTTTTGGAAATATATGAAAGAATTTTGAATGTTTTTTGGTTGATGTATATTATCCTAGCAAGGTAAAAGTAAGTAGTACACATTCTGAGGGAGATACCCCAACCCAGAAACCAAAGCCTCATATTTTCTCTCATTTTGGACATTACCATTGAGTATTTAAATGTGTGTGTGTGTGTGTCTGTGTGTGTGTGTGTGTGTGTGTGTTACTTAGAATACAGAAAAATCTGACATTAGTAATGAGTTATCAGCAATAGAGTCTTTCAAAGAGAAAAAATATTCACAATTTTTCTCACTACATGAATTTCTTTTTACTCATATGACTGATTATTTTGTCTCTTCTACCTTCATTTGCTTACAGTCTGCTTTATGATATATGGGAATTTATATTATAACTTGTTTATATATTCTTTTTAACTAGTCATTTGATTTCCATAATTCATTCTGATTTTCTGGATGTTAGTGTCAGTAAAGTGCATTTCTTGGAAAGAAGATAACTTGTCTCTTACTTGTACCTACTCTTCCAGATTCTGTCTTGTTATTGGTGACCTGAGGCTGTATTCATTTAATAATATTATTGAGAGAGGATTTTTATTCAGTATGATTTTGCTGGTATTCTGGCTGTTGAAATCATTGATATTTAGGTCATTTTTTATTAGTATTAATATTTGGTTTCTGCTTTGCTAATGGAGGATACCTTCTGGGCAATGTACATTCATCAAATACTCTTTACAATTGTATTCTGAGTTCTGTTCCCATGAATGAGAGTGTCTGTCTCCTCTGTGTATCCTGTTTGCTTCCATAAATTCAGAAATCCTGGCTTGCTTGTCATGAATTGGTGCATTTCTTCAAAGGCCCTTCCTCCTCAATCTGAAGAGATACCTTTCTGCCCATCAATTTTAGTTAATATGTTCACTTTCAGTAGGTTACACGTAGTTTTACATTATTTCATCCTGTTCGGCCTCTGGTCTTTGTTGACAAGAGATCTAATATTATTGCAAATTTTCTGCCTATGTAATGAATTCGTAGTTTGCAACTGGATTAAGTATTGACTTTTTAATTACTATTATTTTCATGTTGCCTGTGACTTGGAATGCAGAGCTGTGTCAGGATTTATTTCAGTTTTCTAAATGACGCTCTTGTGATTGTATATCCATTTATTTCTCTATTTTTCATAAACATTTACTTCATTTTGGTGTGGCCATGCTGGAGGAAGTACATCATTGGAGGTGGGCTTAGAGAGTTCTTAAGCCTTGCCAGATCTCCAATCATGCTCTGCTTCCTGTGCCTGCTTGAAGATGTGAGAGCCTAGCTTCTGATCCTACTCCAGCCATCTCTGCCACCATGCCTCCTTGCCATGATAGACTTTTGTCCTCTTTGAAACCATAAGCTAAATAAACTCTTCCTTTTATAAGTTCCCTTGGGCATGGTGTTTCTAGCACAACAGAAAAGTAACTAATACACAAGGCAAATCCCTTCTATGACTTAGAACAGGACCTTTCCTTTCTCTTCCTTGATGCCAGAGGATTTCTAAAAAATATCCACTACTGACCCACCAGCCTCTTTCCTGAACCCCAGGGCTGACCTCTCGGCCGGGGAACACCACTGCTTCTTGATCCCTTGCATCCAGATGGACCCAGTTCCTTCTCGAGGTCCCCAGGAGTCCTCTGGGCCTGGTCCCTCCCTCACCTCCCTCATTTGCACTGCATGCCAGCCTCTTTCCTGTACCCTGGGGCTGATCTCTCAGCCCGGGCCACCACTGCTTCCTGATCCCTTGCATCCAGATGGACCCAGTTTCTTCTCAAGGTCACCAGGAACCCTCTGGGCCCAGCCTCACCTCGCTCTGCTTCCCTGGGCTGCACAAACCACCAGTCTCTTTTATGGACGCCTGGCCTGACCTTTAGGCTTCCTGATATTTTGCAGCCAGACCAACCCCGTTCCTCAGTGCAGTCCTCAGGGGCCCTTGGGGCCTCTTCCCACCCCCACCTCTCTTTGCATCTCTGGGTGGCAGGGCCACTAGCCGCCTGAGACTATCATCTTTCCTGGGTTCTGCTCCCAGGCCAGTCCAACCCCCAAATTCCTGAGGCCAAAATCTTTCCTGGAGGGATCCAGACCTTAGGAGAAAGCCTGAGAGCATCTGATCCTCACCTGACATGGGCCTCTGTGAGAACTCCTTAAGACAAAAGCAATCTGGCCACTCCAATATAAAATAGAGGAAATAGCTTTCCACGCCCAAAAAGTAAACCACAAAGGCACATAAAGTTTACAAAGAGAAGTAGACCTAAACTTGAAAACTTGAGTCTGACACAAGAATCAGAAACTACAAATGTGAAGAATGTGGCCGTTCCTTTACTTTCCGCTCAACACTTAAGAATCATTACAGAATTCATACTGGAGAAAAACCCTATAGATGTGCAGAATGTGACAAGTCCTTTAGCCAAGCCACACATCTTCGAAATCATAAAAGTATTCACACCGGAGTGAAACCCTACAAATGTGAAGAATGTGACAAGTCCTTTACCCAGGCCACACATCTTCGAAATCATAAAAGTATTCACACCGGAGAGAAACCCTACAAATGTGAAGAATGTGGCCGTTCCTTTACTTTCCACTCAACACTTAAGAGTCATTACAGAATTCATACTGGAGAAAAACCCTATAGATGTGAAGAATGTGACAAGTCCTTTACCCAGGCCACACATCTTCGAAATCATAAAAGTATTCATATTGGAGAGAAACCCTACAAATGTGAAGAATGTGACAAGTCTTTTACTCAGAGCCCCAAACTTAGAACACATTACAGAATTCATACTGGACAAAAACCCTACAGATGTGAAAAATGTGACAAGTATTTCACCATGGCCTCACATCTTAAACGTCATAAAAGTATTCATACTGGGGAGAAAGCATACAAATGTAGAGAATATGACAAGTTCTTTACTCAAATGTCAAGTCTTAGAACACATCAGGCAATGCATGCTGGAGAGACACCCTTCAAATGTAAGGAATGTGACAAGTGCTTCACCAAAGCCTCAAATCTTAGGCGTCATGAAAGTATTCATACTGGCGAAAAACCTTACAAACGTGAAGGATGTGACAGATCCTTTACGCAAAAGTCAGATCTTAGATCACATCAGGGAGTTCACACTGGAGAGAATCCATACAAATGTGAAGAATGTGACAAATGCTTTTCCTAGGCATCATGTCTTAGAAGTCATAAAAGTATTCATGCTGGAGAGAAATTATACAAATGTGAAGAATGTGGCAGGTCCTTTACTTTGCGCTCAACACTTGAGTCATTACAGAGCTCATACTGGAGAAAAACCCTATAGATGTGAAGAATGTGATAAGTCCTTTACCCAGGCCACACATCTTTGAAATCATAAAAGTATTCATACTAGAGAAAAACCCTATAGATGTGAAGAGTCTGACAAGTGCTTTACTCAAATGTCAAGTCTTAGAATTCATCAGGCAGTGCATTCTGGAGAGAAACCCTTCTAATGTGAAAAATGTTACAAGTGCTTTCTTCGAATGTCAAGTCTTAGAATACATCAGGCAGTGCATTCCGGAGAGAAAACATACAGATGTAAAGAATGTGACAAGTGCTTTATCCATGCCTCAATCTTAGACGTCAAAAAATTCAACCTAGAGAGGAGCCCTACAAATGTGAAGAATGTGACAGGTCCTTTACTGCCAGCTCAACATTAAAGAATCATTACAGAATTCATAGTGGAGAAAAACCTGACAGATATGAAGAGTGTGACAAGTCCTTTACCCGGCCCTCACATCTTAGAAGTCATGAAAGGATTCCTACTGGAGAGAAACCCTACGGATGTGAAGGATGTGTCAGGTCCTTTACTGCGTGCTCATCACTTAAGGCTCATTGCAGAATTCATACTGGAGAAAAACCCTACAAGTGTGAAACATGTGACAAGGCCTTTACTTCTCTGTCTCATTTAAGGTTTCATCAGAGAATTCATACTGGAGAGAAACCCTACCAATGAAAAGGAGTGAGAGTCCTTTCCTCATGCATCAACTCTTAGAGATCATCAAAGAATGTGTAATAAAGGGAGACACTACAAATATAAGTGATTTGGAAATTCCTTTAACCGTATATCAGATGGTAAATTTACCAAAAATGTACAGTGCAGAGACAGTTTACAATTGCAGAGAATGAGGAAATCCTGTACTCTGGGCTCAATTCTTAGAAAATGAAACAGAATCCATACTAAATGGATATGTTTCAAAGTAAGGAGAATGTTGAAACATATTTATGTACTACAAAACTTCACAGTATACTAAAAAAAATTAGAATTAAATACAAAATGGCAGAATGTATAATAAAAATTTATTTCTAAGTCAAGAAAAAGAACTCATAAGGGGGGAGAAATGTGAAAGATAAAAAATGTAAGAAAGCTTTTACTTTTCTATCCAACCTGATGAATACCACAGAATCCTTATTGTAGAGAAAACCAAGAGCTAAAGAAAAATAAGCCACTATTTACAAATGTCTCCCCTCTAAGGAAACATCTTGTCATTTACTATCAATAGATACACAGTGTGAATAAAGGACATAAGTATTGAGTTTCCACAATCAAAAGAGTGTTTCGATGTTTTTACTTTTACTTGACATGGCAAAAACAATAGATATTGGAGAAAATTTGAAATTAATCTTCCACGATTTGTGACTTTAACATTGTGCTATCCTATTATATTTTAAGTCAGGTTTTTGAAAATGGCAGATAAGGGTGAACACTGAAGACCTTGTATTCCCAGGCAGAGTATTATGGTGCAATAAATAAAAGGCATAATGTTAGATATTATAAATTATATTTACTCTAAATTGTATATTGATATATATGTAGACAGAATCATATCTGCAGGAAACTTAGTAATATTCCCAGTACTGTAGCTTTCTGAAGACTGTACAGTATTTGTTAGTTTAATATGGAAATTAATTCAATCTGTCTTGCTTTCAAAGGATTATTTGACAATATACAATTTCTGTGTGAAAACTAAATGACGGGGAGATGAGAACAGTTATCTTCAAAAAGTTGTAACTATCTGTGCTAGTCCATGGATTTCTTAAAATCTTAGTGCTGTTCTTTGAAAATGGTGTATAATGACATCCAAGTTGTCTGTTAATTTTAAAAATCCTGTTTCTTTAATTCTTTTTATGTACATGTTAACTAGAATGCATTAAATTCATTTTATAACAATATTAAAGCTGCATACAAGTAGGTGTTGTTTTAATAAATAAAGCATATGTTTAACTTTCTAACATAGAACTTATATGAAAAAATATTATCTGCCCTAGAAATAGAAACTCTCACATCTTATTTCAGCTGATGATAAGCAAAGGCTAAACAAGGATAATCTGATAAATCAGGGCATTGGTTTTTCCCATGGATCTGTTCCTTGGGGGCTTACCCTCAAATAATTTTCATGATCTCTTTATTGGAGATTTTATGATGTATTTGAGAGATTATGATAAATATAATGAAATACATGTGGCATTGTTATTGTAATCCTAATTTCTGAGTATTGATGTATTTAAAAATAGTCACTATTTTCTTTTCTTCTACCTCACACACTTTGTGGGACAACTGAACACATAGGTTTTTCTTTACTTATACACTAAAAGAAAGGTGTAAAAAAGTGAGACTCTGGTAAAGTTTAGGACTCAGAGAACATACAGGAGTGCTTGCATGTTTGTGTACCTTCTGACATGTAAGGAAACAGATGACCACAGATAAATTCACAGAGGTTAATGTGGGAGTGAAATTCCTCTGCTGTGACAAAATACTCGAAAAATGAAGTAAAGTGAGGAGGCTTTTTTCCCCCCCACTTTTCAAAGTTTTTGATCCATATATATTTGTTTCTATTTATATGGCTTATGGATATAAAATATAGGAGTCTGGTAACCATGGGCAGAGGGGACAGTTCTCATCCAGAAGGAAGGGGAGAGCAGGAAGCAGAAAGATTGAGATAGAGCTAGAGAAGGCCTTTCTGAGGTCAGAGACAAAACATGTGCTTAAATGTTGTACATCAGTGACCTACTTCCTGCAATCATAGCTGAATGAACAGCTATGATGTCCAGTTACAACCCTCATGATCCAATCACCTTCCCATAAATTCTTTTCTGAATCCTAATATCCACACCCCAAATATTAAACATGTGAGTCTCTGGGATTCCACTTTATAACCATAACCTAAGGTTCATGACTTACTACCTAACAAAACAGTGGAAGTGATGAAAGGCAACTTTTTGCTCTGCTATACATGGACCCCAGTCTCAAATGTTTCATACTCCAGGCTTGGGGTTTAGTTAAGGTTAGATGCCTAGGGTTAGAAGCCCTGAGTTTGATACTACACAGTACCTAAAAGTTCACAAATTTCAATGTTTCTGAATCCCCCTATGCAAATCCTATGTGGTTTGCTTGCATAGTATACATATGAGAACTAGAACACAGTTTACATTAGAAAATTGTGTCATTGTTTGACATCATAAATGATTTCAAATGATTTCATGTAGTACAACAGTACTTAGGATTGAACTTGTAAATAAAAATTACTTTGTGAGAACATACTAATGTCAGGATTCTAAAGACATGCTCAGCATCTCTCCTCATAAGTGAAAAACAGTTCAATATTTTTAGTTTCCACATTTAGGGGTTATCATAAAAAGTATTAATTTCTTACAGAGCAATACCTTTCAAATTGATTGTTTCAATTCCTGTTGTTTTTTTTTCTTTTAACCCCCTGCTACTCAGGCATCATGGCACTGTTCTTTCTGTGCATATATATATTTAGATTTACAGGTATTTTTCATTGCAGATGCTCTTGAATGATTTGGAGAATCCACTCACGTTTTATGAATTCCAGACTCTGAACATGTCACTGATGTATCTTGAATTAGATTCAGTGTTCCAGTCAATTAACTAAGGATGTTTGATCCTTAGAATATTGCCAACATATAGCCCCTGGTATTAAACTGTGTGGAGTGTATTTGCAATGAGAGAGAAAACAGGGATTGAATTCTCCTTAATATGCAGTTGCCATGAAAATACAGGGAGTTTTACGTGAAGGGTAAATGTGATACATGAAAGTGGTGTTTTGAGACTGTCAGTTCCTGAAGTACTTGGAAGTTATCAGTAGGCAGTAGTGCAGAACAGGCCCGCTTGGAAGAATAGTTGTCAGTAGACATTTGTACATATACACGCTGTATTTACAATGAGAGAGAAGACAGGGATTGAATTCTCCTTAATATGCAGTTGCCGTGAAAATACAGGGAGTTTTACGTGAAGGGTAAATGTGATACATGAAAGTGGTGTTTTGAGACTGTCAGTTCCTGAAGTACTTGGAAGTTATCAGTAGGCAGTAGTGCAGAACAGGCCCGCTTGGAAGAATAGTTGTCAGTAGGCAGTAGTTCAAAATAGGCCCAGTTGGAAGACATATATTCCCATTACTTTTAGTCAGAAGACAAGATTCTTGTTTGAGGAATACATATGATCACAACACTACATGTCCTCTTAGCAAAATGCATGTATATATTTTTTAAAAGGCTCTGAGAGACTGTCTCCCCAAGATCAACCAAGCCTGTGCAGTGTTCTCACACAAACACATAGTCCCATGAGCTGAACACAATGCATGCCCGAACATTTGTACATATACACGCACACATCATATTCATATATATAAGTGTATATATAGTGCATTTATTAATGTATAATATATGTACATACTCTCCATTCTGCTTATCCCATCGATTCCCTGAATCGTGTCATTCTGGCTGTATAGTGAAACTGGCAGCGTTCCTTAAAAAAAAGGTCCCAGATGAATATGTTTGACTGATTATTCCACCCACATTTTAATTTAGAAATATTGATCATGTCAATACATGGAAGTTTAACAGCCCTTAAAAGCCCTTTACTATGACTTCAGGAATAACAAATACATTTTTTCAGTTGCAGTAACTGACACATCTAAGAGTAGATTTTCCTATAAAGTTCAGTATTGGTGACACTGAACTCTAACATCTTTCTCATGTATAGTATGGTGTTTCATTCTGTTCTACAGAGAAGAAGACATGATGTAACATCAAAGTGCATATGTCTGTGCTGCATTCAGTAGCAGTACCTAGGTGTGCCAAGTTTCCTAGACTCATTTGACCAGGGCATTTCCATTTTCCCTTCCTGGTTGTACTGCATTTTGTTGACTTTAGCTGCATGTAAAAAATAAGGGTGTGCAGAAATTTTAGTTGAATTTAGTTGAACATTTGGGAAACACAAAATATTGTAATGGGCATGTTCCATGTATGGACATCACTGTACATTCCTGTTTGCAATCATCACACACCATTGGTCTATATCTGTCAAGGTAGTGCCATTACCCATCTTTAGTGCTCAAGACATTTGTACATATACACGCACACATCATATTCATATATAAGTGTATATATAGTGCATTTATTAATGTATAATATATGTACATATTCAAACATAATATCTACAAAAGTGACACCATGCATTTATTTTAGAATATTTAATGATATAACAAAATTTTTAAATTCTTATATAAATGAGGAAATCGAGCTGTGTGAATATTGAATAAATTTTATATACATTTACACAAATGAGATTTGCCAAGGTAAACCAAACAAATGAGAAGACAGGTTGTGTTGGTGAAAAAAAGAAAAACAACAAAAAACAGGTTGATAACTGGAACTTATATTCCAGGAAAAGAACGATGAGCACAGAGTCTGTGGTTGTGATAGAACAGTAACCCATAGACTGGGTTAGGCTCACAACTCTAGAGACTGGAAAGTTCTAGATGCTATCACCAATAAATTCCATGGCTGCTGAGTCCACTGGTATGTGACAAGGACACTTAATTATTCCATTCCCACCTGACTGAAGGGGTAATGAGACTCCCTTAACTTCTCTTAAAAAGGACTAACAGCATTATTGATTTGGGACTCCTCCAGAATTATTCCATAAACATAATTGATAACATGATATTAGGGAATAGTTTGTAACAGAAGGATTGAGGTTATTGGGGCAAAAATATTCATACCTCAGCAAAACAGTTTTAGGACATGAAATGATTTTGATTTCATTGTCTTGTAGAAAATTGATAAAAAAAAGGAGTATTTGGGGGGCAACTTTTACTAAATAATTTCTAAGGAAGAATACATGAAGAAAGATGCTGGGCAAGGTTTCAAGTCTGAAGGACAGACCCACGCTGGGGAACATTTGGGAAACACAAATTCACTACATAGGTCTTCCAAAAATTGTAATAACGGAGGACATAGTGTCAGGCTTGAAGGTAGTAGTGTGGGGTAGACATGGGGGCAGGCATCTAAATATAAACAAAACACATTGCAATGCTAAAAGAATTAATAAAAACATTTAAAAAAAATAAGTCACAGGCCTGGAGAGTCGGCTCAGTGTTTAAGAGCACTGGCTGCTTTTGCAAAGGACCAAGAATCAGTTCCCAGCATCCATATGGCAGGTAGCAATCATCCTGAACTCCAGTTCCAGTGGATCTGATGCCATCTACTGACCTCCATGGGCATTGCATGGCATGGGTGATTCCACCTACAGACAGTCAATAAACTCATATACATGAAAAGGTAATAAAAAAGTTAATATTTTTTAAATCAGAAGAACATGAAACATGCAGTCATCATCATAATTAAATGCAGCCAGACAGTATAAACGTCATACCCACAGTTAAATATCAAACACTCAGGAGGGGGGTGAGTGCTAAGGTCACATATTTACTAAGACAAACTACTCCAAAGAACATGGCATAAAAATATTTAAATCTGAGAATAAAATCTTACAAAATGATTACTATAGATCCTTGTCTCAAATCCCATTGTTGTTAAGTTGAACATGCTCAGTACAAATTTATGAAAAGCTCCTAATCTGGACCCTGT